GGAAAAACAAATTTATCAGAATTATTATTTTTTTTAATTATTTTATTATTTCTAAATAACTGAAAATATAATTAATGGGGACGTCTGCAAAACATCGGGCATTTTTAATTAAGTATTTTTTAAAGATATTAGCCTTTTTAAATATTTTTTTTTTAATGAAGTCGTCCCAAATGAGCGTTGATCGCAATATATTGTTTTCTATATTGGTCTCGATGCATTTAGAGTCTACAGCGAAAAAAAATATATACAGTAGAAGCTCTCTGAGCGGATACTCGCGTAAGCGGACAGCTCTACTTACGACCGCCTTGACAAAACCCCGTTTGAACTCTAGCTCATACAAACTCTGTACAGTCGAAGCGCTCTGAGCGGACACTCTCATAAGCGGACAGCTCTACTGACGACCGCCTTGACAAAACCCCGTTTGAACTCTAGCTCATACAAACTCTGTACAGTCGAAGCTCTCTTAGCGGACACTCTCGTAAGCGGAAAGCTCTACTTACGGCCGCCTTGACAAAACCCCGTTTGAACTCTAGCTCATACAAACTCTGTACAGTCGAAGCGCTCTGAGCGGACACTCTCGTAAGCGGACAGCTCTACTTACGACCGCCTTGACAAAACCCCGTTTGAACTCTAGCTCATACAAACTCTGTACAGTCGAAGCTCTCTGAGCGGACACTCTCGTAAGCGGACAGCTCTACTTACGGTCGCCTTGACAAAACCCCGTTTGAACTCTAGCTCATACAAACTCTGTACAGTCGAAGCTCTCTTAGCGGACACTCTCGTAAGCGGACAGCTCTACTTACGGCCGCCTTGACAAAACCCCGTTTGAACTCTAGCTCATACAAACTCTGTACAGTCGAAGCGCTCTGAGCGGACACTCTCGTAAGCGGACAGCTCTACTGACGACCGCCTTGACAAAACCCCGTTTGAACTCTAGCTCATACAAACTCTGTACAGTAGAAGCTCTCTGAGCGGACACTCTCGTAAGCGGACAGTTCTACTTACGACCGCCTTGACAAATCCCGTTTGAACTCTAGCTCATACAAACTCTGTATTTACACATTCCCGTAAGCGGCCAGCTCTAGTTGCGAACACTTTTTCTGCTTCCCGAGGGTGTCCGCTTACGGGAGCAGACAAAGTGGTTGTCGCATACATAGAGCTGGGCCGCTTACGCGGAATGTTGTAAATTTCACCAGAGTTTGATATGAGCTAGAGTTCAAACGGGATTTTGTCAGGCAGGCGTGCGTAAGAGAACGTCGTTACGGAGATTTCCGCTCATGAGCAGCTTCTACGGTACAGAGTTGGTATGAGTAGAGTTCAAAACGGGGTTTGTCAAAGCGTCGTTCAGTAGAGCTGTCGATTTACAGAAGTGTCCGCCAGACGCTATCTAAGACTTGTACAGAGTTGTATGAGCTAGAGTCTAAAGGGGGGTAATGTTGTGTCAAAGGCTTAGGCACACGATCAAGTAGAGACTGTGCCGCTTAACGAGAGTGCCAGCTAGAGAGCACTCGACTGTACACGAGAGTAGGAGGAGCTAGAGTATCAAACAGGGGTTTTGTCAGGCGAACCGGAAGTCTAGACGCGTCACGCTGTTACGAGAGTGTCCGATAGCAGAGCATTCCGACCTGAGCTGTACAGAGTTTGTAGAGCTAAGAGTGTAAAAGGAAGGTTTGGTCAAGGCGAGGTCGTAAGTTAGAGCTGCAGCTACGAAGCGGGTCCGCTCGAGCGTCGACGTACAGAGGTTTGTATGGAAAGCTAGAGTTCAAACGGAGGTTTTGTCACGGCGGCCGTAAGTAGAGCTGATTCGCGTACGAGAGGTGTGCACACGATAGAGTAGCTGCGACGGTACAGAGGTGTGCCTAATACGATATCGAGCTAGATGTTCAAACGGGGTTTGTCAAGGCAGGTAGTCAGTAGAGCTGTTCTATACGTTAGCGGGAGAGTGTCCGCTAGAGCGACCTATCGACGTACAGAGTATTGCTAGAGCTAGAGTTCAAACGGAGAGGTTTGTACAAGGCGGCTCATAAACTAGAGCATGTCAGACCGCTATACGCGGAGTATCCGCTCACGAAGAGCTTCACGTATATATTTTTTTTTCGCGTAGACTCTAAAGCATCGGGACAAATATAGAAAACAAATATTGCGATCAACGCTCATCGGACTACTTCATACTAAAAAAAATATTTAAAAAGAGCTAATATCTAAAAAATACTTAATTCAAAAATGCGATGTTTTGCAGACGTCCCCCTTAATTATATTTCAGTATTTAGGAAATAATAAAAATAAAAAATAAAATTCTGTAAAATTGTGTCTTGTATCCTAATCAAACCCTTCATAATCTCCATCCATTATTTTTAATTAAAAATCAAATAATCAAACACCAACAAAAATATCATATTTACTCAAATCAAATCATTATTACGCTTAGGATGTTATTCACTATTATAAACGCTAATTTAAAAAACCATCAATCTTTATCGAATATCATCATAACAATATTTCTCAAATAAAGTCATTATTATTCAAACTTCTATATCTTATCTAAAAATCTTCAAATGAAAAGTTTGTGAACCAATAAATATAAACTATCTTTTTAAACTTTTTAAAAAACTATTATTTATTATTCTCAACTATTCTAAATTTCTTCAATCTATTCTACATAAATTTTTTACTTTTCTTTTATTCCATTCAGCAGTTTACAAATCATATGTCTTGGTATAATCGCCTACAATTTTTTAAC